ACATGGGGGAATTTGCCTACCCATCCCCATCCTCACCTTCCCTGGCACCCAGCTCTTCCCAGGAGGAGTGCACTTGTGCTTCGATGCGGCAGCATTCTCATTCCATCCTCGGACCATTGCCTCTGCATGTCTCTGCAGCTTTGCCGCTCCATTTCTCCCCATTTTCAAAGGAATTATTTAAAAACCTGGAGCACAGACTGGGGCTGTAGGGTAAGCACACACCACTTGGGCTTTCTTTACTCCCTTCAGGCCATCACCGGAGGAGGCTCTGCAGTGGCGCGATTCCTTGGAGAAGCTCCTGCAAAACTCCTGTAAGTTTGCATCCCTCTGTGGTCGGTCACCTCCCCTCTTTCCATGTTCCTCCCTGTGCTCAATAAGGGCATGGCCCCCCTAGCACCACCAGTGCTCAGTGAGGGCTTGGTCCCCCTACAGATGGGCTCGCCAGCTTCCGCAGCTTCCTGCGCTCTGAGTTCAGCGAGGAGAATGCTGAGTTTTGGGTGGCCTGTGAGGACTACAAGAAAACCAAGTCCCCTGTGAAGATGGCGGAGAAAGCCAAGAAGATCTATGAGGAGTTCATCCAGACTGAGGCACCCAAAGAGGTCAGTGGCCATGGGGCAGGAGATGGTGCTGGGAGGGGTGAGGCTGCTGCCCTGTTGGTCTCCATCCCAAAGGAGAGTGGTGGCTGCAGGGCACCTTGTGCCACGGCTGAGGGGTTCGGCAGGCTGTACCCTTGGCAAGGGGCAGCCCCATCCCTACATGCTGCACTCCCACCCTTCACAGCCCTGGCACCCCTGTTTGCATGCTTAGCCTCTGGTTGGGCTGTCTCCTGACACAGGCACCTCCAACACATGCCTGTCCACCCCTCTGCACAGAGGGCTGACATTAATTGTAAGGGATGGCAATGTACAGTAATCCTCCTCCCCAAGTTAGCTTTGCTGTAGGACAGACCTCATCCTTATGGCTTTGCCACCAGTGATTACTCCAGACAAGTGAACTTGTTTCAGTCCCTCCCTACACCCTTTGCGTGATTGTTGGTGGGACAGAGCAGGCAAGGGGAGATGCCATCACCCACCCCTCCAAAGGCAGGGTCCCCATCCCTCTTAAACTCCCATCACAGGTGAACATCGACCACTTTACCAAGGCTGTGACCATGAAGAACCTGGTGGAGCCATCACCAACCAGCTTTGACATGGCCCAGAAGAGGATCTTTGCCCTGATGGAGAAAGACTCCCTGCCGAGATTTGTGCGGTCGGAGTTTTATCAAGAGTTAATCAAGTAGCAATGTGGCAGGGCTGTGCAAAGCATCCCCACTGCTTCTATCTCAACACCTGCCCCTTCTCCTGCAGCTGCTTTGCTTTCTTCATACCACCCTAGAAGAGCACCCAGGGGTGTTGCTAAACATCTCCCCCCGTGCTTTGGACTGTCAGATGTCCTGGTGTTTCCTCTCTTAGCATCTCTTTCCTCTCCCACAAAAAAACAATTTTCAAAAATTTCATGAGGTTGAGACCCAGAAGGGTGATGCAGCAGCCCCAGCTCCACAGTGACCGGGAGCCACTTGGGCAGCCAGCACATCACTGGCACTGCAGAGCTTGGCATTTAGCTGGAGGCTCTGAAGTGCCAACTTTGCCTCCTTAGGACTCGACAATTTTTCTCCCAGTTTTGCCCATATCTCTGGTTTGGCCCAGGCTCGCTCCCTCTTCCCATATTCCCAGGGTGCTGCTGAGACTGTACAGGTACCCTACGGGTGCTCCCCTCCCTGGCCAAGGTGGAGAGTGAGACATGTCCACTGCCCAGTTGGCATCACCTAGTCTTGAGAAAGCAGCTGATCAGCAGGCACAGTGACAGCCGTACAGCACTGATGGTGGTATGGCAGTGAGGGCTGTGGGGCAGGGATGGGGCATGGCAGGGACAGCAGTGACAGCTGTACAGCAGGGATGGCACTCTGGCAGTGATGGCAGGAATGGCTGTACGGCTGTAGCCACATGGCCTTGTGCTACAGGGTGCACCTGGCTGGCACCAGAGGTGAGCAGAGTGAGCCTGCAGCACCTCTTCCCCAGCAGCTCCACTTGGAGTCAGTGGGGAGACAGCCTGTTGGCTTCACACCAAAGACAGTAAAGAGGATAAAACAAAAACTGCTTGTCCAAAACACCAGGACTGTTTAGCAACCCAGACCTCCTGCTCGCTCCAACCTTTGCACAACGTCCTGAGCTCCCAGTCTGCAGCCCATGCTGTGTCCCAGTGCCAGTGTGCAGTCCTCACAGGCCTGGTGGCTGTGATGTGCTGGGATGGCAGCTCTGGGGGTTGCTGCAGGGGGTTCTTGCTCCAGTTGCTTCTCTCCGCAGTAGGTATGCCAAAACGATACTTATGCACAAACCCAGCTGAGTGGCATTGATCAGAGGAGGGAGGAAAATCATGTTGGGGGAAAAAAAGCTGCAATCAAAATCCAATTTGAAAAATCCAAACCAAACCCAAAAACCCCAAACTCAAATCCATCATTGGAAATATGAAAAATAAACCCCTTGGCTTCTTGAACAGATGACAAACTCTGCTGAGTTTGTGTAGCCTGCATCTCTCTCTCCTGTCTCCTCCCATTCGCCTAGGATATGTGTTTCCATAGGCTGTCTCTAAAAAGACCAGCTCTTTTCTAATGATTCAAAGCCAGACCACTGCTGACAGAATAAATAGCACCTGAGGATGGGGCAAGAGCATACATGAAAAGCAGCTAAGGTCTCATTTCAGCCTCAAGGAAAACGTGATGAACCCCTGCTCCATGGGGCCTGGATGTTTTGTCCCTGTGATGGTTTCCTAGTGCAGCATTCACAAGGTCATAGCTTGCAAGGAGCTGTTTCAGCCAGCAGCCTGACAGATGCCAGCAAAATAACCCACGGCCGTGCTGCCCACAGGCATCCCGGACCTGCCGTCTTCCCTGGGCTGTTCAGCCTCACTGCAAGTCATGGGACTCCATGTGAAATGCAATAACATAAACAACGGATTTACCAGCCTATTCAACACTTTCAAAATCTGATCAAAACCCCACCAGCCCCAAATATTTACACACCGTCACTATGGTGATGAAGAAAAATACATCCCGAGCTGCAGGAAGTGGGCTGTGTTTTCCAGACAAGGGTGGGGAGACAGGGGAAAGATGGAACAGGTTGCAAACCTGACTTTTTTTTAAACTCTGGAGCAAAAGGTCTGGGAAAGTTGGTGCTGGAGCCGCAGGGGTGATGCTCACAGGGCATTCCCCTGGGGTGAATGCAGGGGGTGGCTTGGGTGGCCCCAAAGAGCCCAAAGGAGTCCATGAGCAGCAGGAAAGTCCCATCAAAAGGGTGCAGGATCCCCCAGCAGCATCCACTGCTCAGAGCTGGTGGGCAAAAAGAAAGAGGCAGGAGCAGTGCTGGGTGTGGGATGGGGGGCTTGGCCAGCACCTCTGCTGCGGGGTGCTCTCCCCACCTTTGCCTGCACATGCTCCCTGCACTGTCCTAATGTCTCCATGAACCGGTGTCAATACAAGCAGGTTCAGCATGTTCAAGCTCCTTATTTACAGTGTGACTCACAGAAATGCAAAACCAAACAGGCTTCCCTGCAGAAAGTCCCAGATCTTTCATTTCTACTGAATCCTTTAGCAGCTATTTCCAGATTCCCTCACATATTTCACAGTTAAATGCCACCACCAACAACATAAGGTCGGGATGCTGCTGGAGGCTGCCTTGGTACACACCACCAAAACCTGAGACGTCACTAGCTGCAACAGCAATGTGTGAGGCAGGGAGAAGGTGCGTAGGTATCTGTGTGCTGAAAAGGAAGGTGGTGGCTGGATGCAGGAGAGATGAAACAGCTCTATTGGAAATCACTCCCTGGCTCAATTTCTACTAAGATGCTGAAAGGCTACTTTAGGGGCCTCCAGTGATCTACTAGGTGGCCATAAAATGTGGCCCCTGAAGTGTTTTGGAGCTTTTGGGAAGTTGTGTTTGTGTAGAAGGGTCGTTTGGCTAATTACTCTGGCAGGCATGCCCAGGAAAGTGGCAATGCCTGTACCCACCCCATGGCCCAGCTTTCCACAGGCCCAGAGGTATTTACTTTCAGGCTGATACCAACAGTCATATTTCTGGTAGGAAATACTTCATGTATTTTATCACTCTCGCTCTCATGAAATTTGGCATATATAGCACTATACACACAACATGTACATCTGTATTCCTATAGTCATATATAAGTATATACACACACATACATACTCACTCATAACGTGGGCATCTGGATCCCTGGTGAGTCAAGAGAGCCAAAAAGCAGAGTTTCTGGATATTGTGCTTGGAGTCCATCACAGAGATGAGCGTTTGTGGGTTTGGCCTCGTCCCAGACCCTGTTGAGGCAAACCCTGGCCATCCACCAAAGTGAACACAAAGGTGCACCTTTCAAAACATCCTCCAAAACCACCCTGTGCCCGTGGGCACTGGGTGCTCACAGCCCCAGTGCATCCTGGTGGCCAAGCTGGCACAGGAGGCAGGTCTTCTGCTCTCTGAGGGACCCCAACCCTGCCATGGGGCAAGGCAACCCCACGCTGCAGCCTGGGTCCCCAGGCACTGCCTCCATGCCTCCCTGGCACCCACTCCCTGCCACGGGGACATGTGGAAAAGGGCTTCCTGCAGCTGTATGCACCAGATTAATGTTGGAGGATGGTTTGCTGTATGTTTTCTGGTGATTTAGTGACACGAAGCCTTGCACCTCATTGGCCATGGTGTGAACCGCGCAGCTCTTGCTCTGTGTGCTGAGCCAGGGCTCTGCCTGATCCCAGCCTTGGGGTCTGCCAAAGCCTGTGAAGCAGTGGCAGCCACAGGGCTGAGGGTGTCCCAGGGCTTAGCCAGGCTCCTCCCAGCCCTTGGTCACTCCCTGGGGGGTGCTGTATGTTGTGGCCAAAGGCTGGAGCAAGGTCAGGAGTGGTGATCAGGTCTTCACACCTGTGAGCAGCAGGTTTTCAGTCTGAAGTTCTCCCTGTGATTTCCACTAGAGATCCTCACATGGGGAAGACGTGGGGTGCCGGTATGCATTGAGGTTGTGTTAACCCATATTCTTGTAACACTCAGTAATCCACACATAAACATGTATTTCTGCTACTATCTCGATGGACTGCTCATTTTTTTCTCTGTACTGAAGGTGCAGTGTTTCCTTACCTGCTACAGGGCACTCCCAAAACTTGTGTCCAACAGCCCTGGCAAGAACAGGGGCCTCTGAGAACCTTTGCTACAAAGGATGCAGTGGTTTCTCAGAAACTGAAAAGGGAACACAAGTACCACCACAAGAGGCTGAGCCAGAGGAAACTCCCCAAGATCAGTGCAGCACAAGCACCCCTAGCCCCACTGCCCAGCTGCTACCTTGGGCTTCAACTCACAGGGTTGGCTCACACTCCAGTAGCAGCAGCTGTGGTGCTGGCAAGGCAGGGGCTGAGCAAGGGCCACTCCTGCTACCCACACTCACAGGGTTTGGGCCCATGGACAGGTTCAGCTCTGAGCTAAAATGTGTTCCTCTCTGGAGGTCTGTATGGGAAAGCATCTGCAGCAAGTAGGTGCTCCTTGCTGTTCCTCCCTCCAAAGCTGTCAAAGGGGGCCTCACACTCACCCCAGACCCTTGGCAAGGATGGGTAGTCCCTGTGCTGAGCTAGTAGTTAGGCACAGCATGAACCCCTAGAAGTCCCACATCCTCCAGGCTCAGGTGCTGGAGGTGTCTGAAGGATATAATGGCTGTTTCATCAGCTGTTTCATCTTTTTGTGGCTTAAAACAATCTCGGAGTGAAGCCACTCTTTAGAGCAAATCTTGACTAATTAGGTGTCCATGCATTTTCTTTGGTTCACACAATAGTATTTTAGAATGGACTAACGCAAACATTTTTATTTAGAATGTATTCATCATCATTATTTAAGTGTCAATACAGTTTTTGCAATAGTTATCAAGAGTTCCCAGTACCAGGGGAAAACAACACATAGCCACATGCTTGGCTATGCTCAGCGCTTTAGCAAGCCTCTCCATCTCAGCTGAACATGCAGGGTGATAGGTATTAGTGCATCCAATAAACACAAAATAAAGCAAATGTGAAACAAAAAAGAAGTTTCTCTATGTGCCTGGAGAACCACAGCCTCCTCCTGCCATGCCAAAACCCCGGTGTGAGAACTGTTGTCTGGACTGGGATGCAGAGCATGGAATACACAGTCACCAGAGCAGTGATATCTAACTAAGGAGAGACCAAGGGTTGGGGGAGAGCGCGATACCTGGTGCTGCAGCCCAAGGCAGCAAGTCCTGCGGCTGCTTCTTGTGCTTCCAACTGCAGGTCAGTGCCAGTGCCAAAGCCCACAGCGAAGGCCATGTCTAACCACAGCAATCAAAAAGTAAAAGCTGCCTTCTGGCAAAGCCCAGGAGCAGTAATGCGATAACACATTCCTCCTGTCATCTTCAGGAAAAGTGAACCATGCTACTACTGAAATACAAACTCACATAAATAACACTATAAAAACCCCCAACATTTTCAAGTACTCCCAAGCAGGGCCTTTCCTCCCCAGATGTCGTGGTCCTATTCCCTCACAAACTGCTCCATACAAGCCAGGACAGGCAAACCTGAATCCAAATGGCACTCCCAGAGTCAGGAATATACACCTGCTAGTTTGGGAGAGAAGGAACATGTTTCTGTTCTGCTCAGCTACAGTGTTTATTCTGGGAGCATGGAGGTCACAATTAATAAAATAGGAAATAATGAACCTCTTCCAAAATAATAGCTCTGTGCAGCCCTAGGAAGGATCCTTGGCCAGCATAAACATGATGCTATAGGGGGAGCAGTGGCCAGAAGGGAGAGCTTCCCTGTTATCGTGGCTGCAATAATTGAGGGAGGTGATCTGAAACTCCCTTTGATAAAGAGCAGGAGCTCTTCCTATGCCTGATTACTGCAATGCAGCACAGCCTCAGCTCTGAGCAGATACTCCTGACAGTCTAGACATTTGGGAGCTATATGAACATCTAAGGACCAGAGCAAGTCCTTTTCACCTAAGCTTTTGCAGATTAGAAAGGGGAGATCACAGTCCCCACTGCTTCCCTTGGCTTCCTCTTTGTCCTGCTCCTTGCTAGGTGTCACACGGTGACATCACAAGCCTGGTCCCTTGGTAGGCAGTGCCAGGGCTGAGCGTGTGCTCCCCAGTGCCTGCCTGGGCTCACAGGGCTCGCCAGACACACAGCAGACACGCAGCGACTGCACCCAGCTTTCCTGTCAGACAGACCCCAGGGCTCCTACACCGACGGAGTCAGAGGAGGGTTTGCTACACAAACTGAGCCTGGATTGGGTTACGAATGCTGGCTGTTGCATGACATGGGATACAACTGGGACATTAGACAGCTATTGGAGACAGCTCTGTTGCTTCATGCCAATGAATGCTTTTGCTGCCATGTATTCTTGCGAGAGCCCAGCCCGCACCTGCCTCGCTGCAGGTTCAGGCACACTGAGAGATGATGTTAGAGTTGCAGTCTAAGGTGTGAGTGTGGTTTCTTTTGCAGGTTTCAGGCACACAGCCAGCACCAGGTGGGCTGACCAAGTCCAGGTAGTAAGGGGACTTGAGGAAACGGCGGTAAGAATCCTTTTCCATGAGGGTGAATATTTTTCTCTGAGCCTCATCAAAGCAGGACAGTGTAGGCTCCAGCATATTGTGGCTCGTCTTCTCCCGTGTGCATGAATCCAAGTTCACCTGTGGGCCAGAGGGACAGTGTAAGTACAACCTGTCCCAGAAGTGGCTGGCATGGGAAAGGAAAAATCCAAGTGTCTCTCCACCAAGTGTGCTTTATCTGTCCTTGGTGGGCAGTTGTCTGAAAGGGCTGTTTGACAACCTGTAGCCTCGGCAGAATCTGTGCAGCTGGGTACCTGTGCATCCCTGCTGCCAGAACTGTCAGAGGACACTGACACACATCACTCTGGGATGCAGCCAGCCAGGAAAGGTGAACTGCATGGGAGCAGCTGGAACACTGGGAATCACAGTCCTCTCAGGCTGTTCCCACTTGAGTGTGCAGTTGGAATGGCCACATAGTTGTGACTAAACCCACTTTCTCCAAGTGTAATTCAAAAGCAAGAAAAATGACACTATTTCCTTGCTAACTAGCAGAGAAGCAGAACCCTTCCTCTCTTGTGAAACTACCATCTCTACTTCCCTGTGCTGCTAGCCTGGTTCAGAATTCAGTGATACCTTTGCCCAAGAAATATTCTCAGCACATACCTCTTTTGTGGCCTGCACCGAGATGAACTCATCATAGATCTTTCTGGCCTTGGGGCTGAGCTTGGCTGGTGACTTGGTTTTCTTGTAGTCCTCACAACTGACCCAGAACTCGATGTTTTCCTCACTGTACTCAGATTTGAGAAAAGCACGGAAAGCAGCCAGTCCTCCTGTGGATTGTTTAGAGGAAAACCAGATCAGGTAAGAGTGTTGGTTCCTGGACAGTTGTATCTGTGAACCCCAGCAAACAGTGGTTCTGGGTTCTCCTTCCCAGAGCTGAATGAGGAGCTCCTGTGGGGCTAGGAGAGGGGACAGCTGCCTGCTGCCATGGCAGTCACTTGTGCATGCTGAGGGAAACTGGAATTCAGGCAGGCCCCGTGGGGATGTCACACATGGCTCCTCAGCTGCCTGCTCCCCCACTGTGACCTTCAGTGTCTCAGCTAGGAGAACACAAGAAACTTGCCTGTTCCCAGGAGGCCCCAAGGAGACAGACAACGTGCACCACAGAGCCCTAGGCCATGGGAACAATGTGAAGGAAACCTCAAGGGCATCAGCATAGCCCAGAATCAATGGGAAGACTAAGTCTCCCATGGGCTCAGCTGCAAATAGTATCTCCATTTTTTGGTTCTTGTTTAACCCACCATTAACTGTGTGCCCCAGTCTTGCCCTTGTCTTGCACAGAGGCTAAACCAGTTGCTTTCACAAAAGGGACAGCTGAGCAGTAGGTCAAAGCTACACTCATAATACATTGGTATTTACCCTTGCCTTGGATCTGATCAAGAGGACCCTTCACCACCCCTCCCAGAGTCTCCTGTGTGCTTCTAAGAGGCATAAAATAACATCCCATGTCCCCTCCTGGGACTGCTCCCAGCACACCCACACTGCAGACAGCATAAGAACCCTCTTTACTTACTGTCATGATGGATCAAATTTTCCAAAGAGTCTGCCCACTTTCTGACTTCCTCCTGGCTAAGCCTAAAAGGAGACAAAGGGAGAAACACAGGGAAGAATTAAGGTAACATGTCCTGCACTAATTCCTCCTACCATTCTAGAACATCCTAGGGCTCATCTAATTCCAGGAGCATACCTTGGTCTTTGGTGTCCTCTTTGGAAAGACCATTTCCTTACATCTCAGTGAGAGCAGTGATACCCCCCCTGACAGGCTGCTCTCTGTTTTCTGTGCCAACACCTCTGTGCAGCTGTGTGGACCATTGCACAAATCCAGCTCAAAGAGACAGTGATGCTGATTCTGCAATGTGTCCAGTCACATTGGGTCTGGGATGGCACTGTTCCCCTGAGCAGGAGCCTGCACATGCCCTCCCATGTGCACAAGCATATTGAATCACAGATATGTTGGTAGAAAGGGATCTCTAGTTCTACCTTCTTAATCACAGACGTGTTGGCAGAAAGGGATCTCTAGTTCTACCTTCTTCATGGAAAGGGTCTATCAACACCTGAGGACTATTGCCACACTATATTCAAACACAGGTGTTCAAGAGGAACTGGGAAGCAGCAGCAGAAACACTAATGGAGCTCAGTGAAGGAGTAAACAGCCTGCTGCAGCCAGCCTGGGCTTACCTACATGATAGAATCTGCGTGTTGGCAGAAAGGGATCTCTAGTTCTACCTTCTTCATGGAAAGGGTCTATCAACACCTGAGGACTATTGCCACACTATATTCAAACACAGGTGTTCAAGAGGAACTGGGAAGCAGCAGCAGAAACACTAATGGAGCTCAGTGAAGGAGTAAACAGCCTGCTGCAGCCAGCCTGGGCTTACCTACATGATAGAATCTGCTCTTACCTCTGGCTTGAAGATATCTTCTCCTTCTTGCCCTGGGAAGAGCTGTAGTCACAGGAGTCTGACTTCTGCAGCAAGAAGCCCAAACGGTGCTTCATGTCTTTGGCACTGAAAGAAACAAATCAAGAATGAGATGAAGATGATGCATTACACTCCCTCTTCAACCTCCTCGCTGCACAAGACCCTTCTGCATTACTCAGTGCCACAAATGCAGGTCACTGCTAGCGACTCCAGTGCTGACTTTCCACTCCTCACATAATGCACATTTCTGTTGCTAGACAAATACAACAAAGAAGCAATATTTCATGTTCAGCAGCACCATTTTCTTGCCAAGAAGGTCCTCAGCCTGGAGGCAGGGCTGGCAAAGGTGAAGAAACTGCTGTTTTCCTGCTGTTTACAGTTGAAATATTGTGATAGAAAGGCATCCCTGTGCTATATGTGTCACTTCTCCTTGAACTGATTTGCCCAGCTACCAATGTCTGGTTCTTACACCCTTACTAATCCCTTCAGGCAGGCCTTGCCATCTCCTCATGTCATCACCCAGCTACAGGAGCAGCAGGGCCATGCCAGACCACCCCACCGAACAGCTGCCCAAGACACAGAGGGAGCAGAGGAGTCCAAGGGCTTGGTGTAGGACTGTGGGGTGAGACTGAGGATGAATCAAGAGCCTCACAATGACCAGCCACACTGACTGCAAGCTGCTTCCTTGCTCCACAGCAAGCTCCTCTGAGATTAATTTTGTTCTGCCTTCCAGTGTGCTCTGGACATTCATTGCCTGACAGCAGCATCTAGATAAGCAGCTGGTATTGGCCTTGGCATCATTCCGGGTTTTCTTCCAGTTTAAGAATGAGGGGTGGGTAATTCAGTCCTATTTGCTCAGGAGTGCAAGCCCTGGCCTGCTGCAGGGTGCAATGATAGAGTAAGCATGAAATTCTTCTCCTGCTTCTCAGATCAGAGCCTGGAAAAGAGTAAGAGGCTGTGCCACAGGGCTGAGCTCCAGTAGCTTTCAGCCTCCCAGCACTGCTCTCTGCTCCAGCTGTAGCACCCTGTCAGCCATCCTGGCCATGTCTTGTCTCACTGCCTGCCCGTGCTCAGAAATGTTTCCTTAACAACTCCAGCACTTGGATGAGAGCGAAGGAAACTCACAGCTGCTTTAGAGCAGGGTGCACGTGGCCAGGGCCAACATCCAGGCTGTGTCCAGGCAGACACAGGGACTCTGTGCTGCCAGGCTCGGGCTGCCTGGCACCATCATGCTCCTTGCCCCAGGAGAAGGAGACCACTCAGGTCTGCAGGAAGGTGGCAGCAGGAGGAAACAAGACACTGCTGCTTGTAGCAAGTCCCACAGCTTTCTGGAGAGGGGGATTTTGTTGGGAATCCTGGACAGACATGGTTAAAAGATGTGAACTACTTTCCCTTGCAGTTTGTCAAATGTTCTTTTTTTTTTCAACCCCACCAAATGTTCCTGCAAATTGGCGGGGGAGGGTGTCAATATTTTTTCCTTGCATTTTTAGTATTTGTTTTCAAATCCAACCATGAGCAGAGAGATTTTTTCCCACTGATAGGAGCCAGCTGAGTCTCTGTTTGCATTTTCCCAACTCATTGCACAGCTGCTGGGAAGCAGCCTTAAGAGTGCTGCTGAGGGCATGAGCAGGCAGAAAGGCAGTGCTGCACCACCAGAGACCCATGCAAGTTTGCATGGGCTGGATGAGCAGGGATTGTGCCACCTTGCTGGGGGTCTCCAGGCCCCATAGCACCTGAAAGGGAGTAACATCCCTTCAGCAGGGCTTGTGGCCACCTTGCAGGCATAGAGACTTCTCATGCTGGGCTGTGGGGCAGGCCACACTGCCGAGGGCATGTTTGGGGGTGCACAGGCTGCCTGGTCCTGCACATCAGGGTGCAGCCAGATCCTGCACCCATGGCAGGGGTACAGCTCAGCCCATCCTGATCAGGACCACGTAACAGGGATACGATGAGCTCCACACCAGCCCCACAGTGCCCAGCAAGACACTGAGGGTACAGCCTGATTTGGCCCCTCCCCATCAGTGCACCCCCAGGGGATTCAGGCTGACCCCACACCACCAGCTGCTGCTGCATCCACATCCACAGTGCCCTGGGCTGCTCCGCATCCCTGCCCGCTGGCAGAGGGGTCTCTGGTCCTGCTAGGCTGGGTTTCTGCATTTGGGATGCATTTTGGGGAATAACCCTTAATTTTTGTCTTGTCTGCCTTGCTTCCCCCTTAAAAAATCAAGGGAAAAAATCAGCAGCAAGAGGATTCAAAGGAGTAAAGGGGTGCACAGCTTGCGGCAAAAGCAGCTGACAGGAATATCAAAATATAGCAATGCTAAGAGTTGCTTGTTTCGCTGAGCTCCCACAGCACAGTACAACATCTTTCTGCAATTCTGCTTCTAACAGGAAAAAAAAAACAACCCCAAAAGCCTATAAACAATCATTTGTATCTAATATTACAAAATAATCAGAGCCGGATCTGCCACTTCTGCTTCAGACACAAAGCACCATGCGTCAGTGTATCTCCAGGCTAACAAGACCATTACCAGATGCTCAGAAATAAACAGTACCTTTTTAAGCAAGTGGCTGGCAGAGCAGCGAGTCCCTTGCACATCTTGCTCCGAGGTCGGGTCTGTATTCCAGGAAAAACAACAATGCAGGAGGCGGCACAGGCTGCGCACGGGTCCTGCGCTGACTGCAGAATTCGGTCTGGTCTCTGAGCCAGCTGCGCTGCTTTGGCTCTATTTTATAGCCTAGCCCAGACAGCCCAGCAGCACTGGGTGACCCAGTCAGGAGTCAGCACAGCAGCAGCACCCGTCCCCTTTTTGCCCACCCAAGAGGAAGAGGCTGACGTATAAACACAGACAAAGGAGTGAGTGAGATTGAAAACCTTACCAGAGATGAAGCTTGGTGTCTGGCCGCAGAGGTGGATTCTTTCAAAAGGGTGGAAAAAGCTTCAGGGACTTTCCTCTATTGCAGGAGGTGGGAACAGTGCAGATAAAAAACTGGAGGAGATTTTCGGGGGGGGGCACAGATAGTGAAAAGCATTAGAGAATCAATTCTGAGAAGTGAGATGAGCGTTGCTGGTTCCTCTGCTCATTTCCCTGTCTATTTATAGTAACCTGGAGAAAAAAAGGGGCAAGAATTTTAAACACAAAAGGTTCCCGTAATCCCACGAATGCAGAAACCAGAGCTCTTAAGGAAAGAAGAATGTAAATTCACCAGAGAACTACCCAAGCAGATGAGACTGTCCTGTTTTATTCGAGAGTCATGTGAATATATACATTTGGTGAGGCTGAAACAAAAGCTCTGGGAGGCATATTACTAATGGAATATAAAATGTGTGTATGTCAGCACATGGATTTGAGGACAGATCATGTACACATGTGGAAAGGAATTCAGGAGGTGGGCAACACATCTGCCTTAGATATGGGTATTGCTGCAATACCTTACTTCTGCATTTGCCCCTAATCAAAAGTCAGACCTTGGGGCTCAGGAGTCCCCAAGGAAAGATGATTAATTAAAACAATAGGCATAACTGTGCCTGTCCAGAGAGGACTTTGAAGCAGTGCTGAGGGTACTTAGGGGTAAAGAATAAATCCATGAGACACCTGGCTGTGGAGGTGTTTGGTGGTGACCAGCCTGGCTCTGCTGTAGTCTCAAGGAGAACTGAATGACTTCAGCTATGCCACTTATCCTCTCCTCAGCCCTTGGATAGTGCAGAAGGCAGTATCCCCTCTGGAGAGAGAGAATTGGCTGATATTTATTGAGTTGCAGCTCAGCACAGCCTGTACCATCATTATAAAAGAGGGGAAAGCTTTGGGCAGACGGACGTGCATATGGTCTCCTGCATTTCAAGCCTTGCTCCTGCTGTGAGGTAAAGGAGCTTCTGAGCAGCAGCAGGATGGCAGCCCACGCTACCCACTGCTGCGTCCCCTCTCCCAGAGACCTTCCAATACTTTGCCCATGACCTGCAGAAGCTGCAGGATGAGCTTTTCCCTCCTGTGTCTCTAGAGCCTACAGCCAGCAGCACAGACAACCCAAATCCCATACTGCATCCTCTCAGATCATTAACTGTGCTGAAAGGCAATGTTCTAATTAACTGTAAAATGTTTCTGTAGGAACGTGACTATCCTGCTGCCAAACCTGAGGCAACGTGCCTGCAGGCCCTGCACTGTTCAGACTGAAAATCAGCTCCAGCTCAGGGCAGCATAAAACTTCAGCTGAGTGAATCCCCTTGTCTTTTTAGCATTGGTGAGCTGACAGCACTTGGATGGATCTGTAGGAAACAACTGAGCACTGGCAGAGTTGGTGCCAAAACTCTCTGATGTCTTCTGTTTGGGGAGAAAAGAAGCCAAAGGGCAGAATATGGCCATCAGGAAAAAACCTTAAATAATTAGCTAAACATTTAATTAATTTTATTTTAATCTCACAGTTGTGCAATGTTACTACTGTTCATGTGCAACTGCAGCACATTCATTCAAGCAATTCAAGAGCTTAGCTGACCAACATGGTCAAGGTGTCTACAAGCTCTAACTCTGTCCCTCACCCTGACAGCCAGAGCCTGACCACTTGGCTCAGGAAGGTCCAAAGGCTGCTTGCTAGGAACCTCTGTGCAGAACACAGAAATTCTGCAGTTTCTCTGCAAATCGTTGTGTAGCCAGACTTAGGAATGTCATGCCTCTCTATGGGTTGTAAGCACGTTCACTGTGTGGATCTAATGACACTGGAATGCTAGTGCTGTCAACATCAGGTCGCTTGCATTCAGGTTAGTTGCATTCCCCAACTTCGGTGTGAGCAGGCTGTAATCAGAAATTTCTAACACCACCATCACAACAGCCAGTCCAAGGGGCTTTGCAGTTAAGATCATCCTCCCTGAACTGGATATGCAGACTCCTGGAATTGCTGCAGTCAAAATTTCTCTTGTTCCAGTTCATTAGCACAGACTGGTTCAGTCTGGCCCTCAGACGAGGAGTTTGGGCTTGTGTACTGTTTCTCCTCTAAGCTGTGTTTCCCAGCCAGTGCAGCTTAATATCCTCTCAGCTGCTTCAGCTGGTCCCCAATCTAAAGTAGCCCTTTCCATCTCTCACCGTCACAGCCAGGCCTCTTCTCCCAGAGTACAGACTGTGCTGTGCTCGACACCAAAAAATCTCCTCCTCCTCCCTGCCGGTTAGCGGAGTGGAAGCTCATGCCACGTTTTACACCTGTTACGTCATCTCTGGCTCACATCACCTGCAGCATGGGCTGGGGATGCAAGGCTGGGGGTGGGCACTCCCTGTCTGGTCCATCCCTTGGCTGTGCAGTGCTTTGGAGGCACACAGGGGCTCACAGAAGCCATCACAATCATAAATATCTGTGCTTTCCACTGTGGCATCCCTTGTCCCCCACCCACTCATCCCTGCTGCATCCCACACCCTGCCTCCCCAAGCAGCTGGAGACAAGGCTAGGGATTGGAGCTTTCCCTCCTACCACCACTTCTAGGGAAGAACATCACACACGTGTGCTCACCCCCGTACACCAGTGTGTGTGGGATGTGTCCCTCGGCTCAGCCACAGACGAGAGGCAGGCTGTGGGAGGAGGAGGGAGCATGGGAACGCTGCTTCGCTGGTCATTGCCCAGAGCCAAGCTACTACAGGCTGTTGCCCTTCTGACAGCACAGGGCCCTCCTGCCTCAGTCCCTTCCCATCTCAGAGCAGCGTGCTGTGCAGTGTGAGTGCACAAGGAGGATGGCTGCTTTGCATCACTGGAAACCGAGAGGGCATGACATGGGAGCTGTGAGGATGTGCTGCTGGGACAGAGCCTCTCCTGCCACAGCTGCCTTCCCCAGTCCTCCTTGCAGGGGGTATGTGACCCACTCTTCCTCCTCTTCACTCATGTCTCACGAAGCCCACCAGGCACCTTGGGATTGGGCTAGCAAATGCCTGAATGCACGGGGGACAGCGGGTAGAGTACTGCTCATCTTTCCCATGGGCATCCCCTTCCCAGTACATGTCTGGCAGACAGCACTGGTGAGGAACTGGAGCAGCTCCCACACCTCTGAGAAGCACCAGCCTGGGTGGCACTGGTTCCCAAGGTCCCAGGCTGTAGAAACACTGTGCAAGCAGCTGCTCTGGTGACACTTCTCCCCAGCCCTGCTGTGGGGAGAGGGCCTGGAGCTGTGCTGAAGTCCCTGATTTGCTTCCCATGTACCTCAGCCCCAAGCACTCTGCACAAAATCCCTTCCTATGCAACTGCCCAGCATTGATTTCTTCTCCAGTACACCCATTAATGGGTAAGATTTCCTTCAAGTACTGAGGGCTGCATCTTGTCCACATAGGCATATGGTTTGAGTGAATTACGGCTAATGAGCTGGGAGCAGAGAGCTCTGGAAGGACCATTTGGGTCTGAGTTTGGATGAGTGAATTATGGCTAATGAGCTGGGAGAAGAGAGCCTTGGAAGGACCATTTGGGACTGAGTTTGCATGAGTGAACTCAGCACATGCCTGTGTCTGACACTGCATGCAGCCACGTTTCCTGTCCCAGGGCACTGACTGTGGCCTGACCTCTCTAAAAGACACATGGAGAGGCCACACTTGTCCCCATAGGGTCCCCCAGCCAGCACTGGGATTCCCAGAAGCACTGTCCCACAGCATAGTCTGAGGAAATTGTCCTTTCCCATGTCTCTGCAATGCACCGCCTGACTTCACGCGTGACCACAGCCACAGCCTCGAAACCAGCCCCCCCTGAGGCAGCCTTTGAGGAGAGAGCATCCCTTCCCAAATTAGCCCTGACGAGAGGGATGACTCACCATTCTGCCACATGGTTAATTTGCCACTCACATGGAAACCTTCTCATGTAGATGTATCTCCAGGCTGACCCAGTCAACTTTCTGCTTCTGTTGCACAAGGCAAAGATGAACTTATTTTTAAAGGCAAAGCAGCTTAGGTTTGCTGTCGTAGTTTCTTGCTGAGCCTGCTACTCTCTGAAATGATGATCTATAAACGTTACCACATTTGTTCATCACGTTCCTTAGTCCCAGTTTCACACAGTTTGTACAACCAAACACACAATCCATAAAATTTTCTCACTTTCTCAGGTGTTTCCTATTCATATGTGCACCTACAAAATCAGTGGATTTTTGCAATTTCTAAGGGCTTGGAGGTTCCTAATCATTTGGAGTGGGTGGTGGGAGTCATTGGGTTCTTGTTTGCTTCAACCCTCAATTTTTGGGCTGCCTACTTCTCCTGTTGCTACCCAGAAGAAAATATTTCATTTTGTATCAAAGGAAGAATTTTGTTCAGCCCAAACACTCCTGGTGTGGGTTTGCTAACGAAATAAGTGGGGTTTTTATTGTCTGGCTATTGTTCCTGTTTGTGGGCATCAGACCACAGAAAAAGCTATTATTTGAGTAACTTGCCTTCCAATTTCCCAAATCTCTGTCTCATCGTCCATCTTGATTAACAGCCTCTTAAACATTTCCTGCTAATCACTAAGGCAGTTTTGAATAATTCTTGACCACAAACTAAGTCAGCATATGCCTGTTTGCTGATGCTTTCTCAACACTAAAACTGCTTTGAAATGTCTCATTTTGCCACTTTTAGTCCATTTAATATGGATTTTATGACATTTTAAGCCAAATAGCAATAGCAAATCATATTCACTTATAAATCTATTTCACCACCATAACTCTCATAAAAAAACTATTAAGCTCATTAGAAAAGGTCTATTTTTCCATTAAATCACGTCAGCTGGTATCAATTATGTCACCACCTTTTCAAATGAGCCTGCTATAGTCCATATTAACAGCGCTGCACTGAGCCCTGCAGTGGCTAACAACCCTGTGACTATACAGCTCACCCTCTCTTAAAGAATCACAGAATCACAAAATCATTAATGTTGGAAAAAACCTCCAAGATCATTGAGTCCAACCTTTGACCAAACACCACCATGTCAACTAAACCATA